TTACCATGAGTACCATGAAGGTTTGATGTCCTTATTTTACTCAAGATGGTTGGTTTGGACGCCGTTATCTAGCGACCAACCCGAGCCAACCACTCTACTTTCCTGAGGTACGACAGGTACTAGTAGGCATACGGTCCTTACCACGCTAACGCATGCGGATCAGTTTCAAGGTGGCTCATATGATGCATGGGGGCCGACTGCTCCGGGCTATCGCGCTTGCAGAGAGATGACGGGCTCGGATTTCCAATCAGTCTTTTTTCGTCAGTTGTGGGCTTCTAACGCCAAATTGGTGAATTTTTATATGTTTTACGGGTAAGTGGGGGTCTTTTATCAGCGATTTCCCTTCTTGATTTTACTTATCTTGTGTCAAAGAGGCACTTCTTGGGGTGCCCTTCCATTCCCAGGGGTCTACAGTAACGTCGATTTGAAATTAATTGAGGCGCCCGCTGATGCTTTGCTATAGCGTCTTACGACTATGGTGCAGTTGTCGAAGAGTCGCGGGAGATTACAGCCAAATTCGTGAGCTCAAAGCTCAGGGCCTGTTTTTGAGGAGTTCGCCAGAGTTTCTAAAGACAGATTTGATAGGAAATAGCACGTCAGGCTTGGGTAAGGTTACTGATTCCGCTGCCTACGCAACGCTGTTGCAGAATTTGGACACCGGAACCGGCTTCTGGATTGTGCGCCACAGCAACTCATCATCTACGTATGCTCACTACGTTTACACCCGCGCTACCCGAAAGTTTATGTGACGGCTTGCAGGGCGGAGACGACCTTCAACATGACTGTACAAACAAGTGCAGGGACTGTTTCCATCCCACGAACAGTGCCTAATATCACACTTAGCGGCAGGCAGTCCAAAGTGATAGTGACCGACTACCACTACGGCTCCTCTGGTTTTATTCTCTGGTCTACCGCGCCTATCTTCTTCGCCGGCCACATTGGCAACCGCGATGTGTTGTACATCATTGCAGACTGCGGCGAACCCGGCGAGCTCGCACTCTCCCATTCAGCGAGGGTCGACCTCAGTTTTCCAGATGGTGTTATCGAGGGCGGCCCATTCGCTGTCATCGACACAAGCACCTCATTGGTACTAGTTTCTACTTCACTCACTGCAAACACGTTCTTTGCGCCAGTGCTCAGCGGGACTGGCCCGCACGCAAGCTTCTGGCAGATAGGCACCAACTCCACTGTGCTGGTGGGCGGCCCATACTTAGTAAGGAATGCCTCTCTCGAGACAGATGGCTTGCTCGCACTATATGGTGACCTGAACGCAAGCGTTACCCTCCAAGTCATTGGCCCACCTCAGATGACTGCAGTGACCTGGAACGGCAAGGCCGTCGTAAGGAACACCACTGCGACGAACAGTCTCTCTCGCTTTCCAGGGACATTCATAGGACACCTTGAGTTCCCAGAACGAAAATTACTGTGCCAACCCTTAAAGAGTGGAAATTCCGCGACAGCCTACCGGAGATCCAAGCCGCATTCGACGACTCTAATTGGGTGGTGGCTAACCATACGACGACAAATATCCCATTCAAGCCCTACTATGGCGATGGGCGCGTCTTATATGGATGTGACTATGGATTGTGCGTGGAATCCCCGACCTGACTCAAGTGAGAGTCGCTGATTTGTCATCTTAGCTGCGAGAACATTGTACTTTGGCGAGGGCACTTCAACGCGACTGGTCAAGAGACTTCGGTCAACCTTTCTATCAACGGTGGCCAAGGTATTTTCCCGTCACACTGCCGTTTCTTAACACCCACATGACACTCGACAGCCTTTGCAGCTAGCGTCTGGCTGAATTCGCATTTCCTAGGTACTTCATTTGGCAAGTGCGTTTTAATTCAATTGCTTACTCGAGCGGTGGCCTCCTGCTGACATTAGACGCAGCTCGACGAACAATCGACGTATTCTGGAAGAGACAGACGACCTATTTACCTTTCCAGCCAGCTCTCTGATACCGGCACAGACAACGTCATCACTATCGTCCAGGTAAGAACCCACGCATCGCCAAATTTGTTATTGAGCCACATGATCTTGCAGGACAATATGGGCCTAAACCAGACGGACGGCAGTAAGTTCGTTTCTCTGCCCTCCCGCTACTTGCTTCTGAACTTGTGATGTAGGTAACACGGATGCTTCCAAGTCTCCGCGGGGCGTACGCGGCTTCAAACTCAACGACGGTGAGTTTAGCACTTGGAAAGTTCAAGGCAAAGTTGGCGGGTACACGTGGTGCGTGTCGTTTCCTTGCCACTCAAACACGCCTCCTTACATTCTCTTCCTGCACATGTAGTTTCCCCGACCGCACCCGTGGCGTGCTGAACGAAGGTGGACTCTTCGGCGAGCGTGCGGGATGGCACCTCCCTGGGTTCGACACAAGTAAGTGGATGACACGGGACCTCTCGGCCGGCTTGCCAAACGGCGCCGCGGGCGTCGGGTTTTTCACAACGACGTTTCCGTTGAAAATACCTACCGGCTTCGATGTGATGCTATCTTTCACCTTCGATGAGAGCACGCAGCCATACCGTGCGCTCCTATTCGTTAATGGGTGGATGATGGGCAAGCGGGTGGGGAATCTCGGGTACGCCTCTTACGTCTGAGAAATCATGGGACGCTGGTGATCATGTTGGTACATATAGACCTCAATTTAAGTTTCCCGTTCACCAGGGTATCTTGGACTACAATGGGACCAAGTCCGTTTCTTCTCGTAGGCTCAAAGGAGCGATATGCTGATTCTTGATATAGTACCGTTGCAGTCGCCCTGTGGGCGATGGAAGCAGTTCCAATCGCACCAACGCTTGCATTGACACTCGATACTGTACTGCAAGGAGGCGTCGGTCCCATCATCCCGGACAACCCACCTTGGAGCCCGAAGGGAAGAGAGGTTCAAGGATGAGCTCGGCATGCGGAAAGGATATAGATAGTATGATGGACTATGCGTAGACATGAAATGAGTTTCAACCACCCTATCACTTCTTCGTATTCTGCTTAGCGACACTTCGCTCGCTGCGTACCCGGGTCTTTTTCTGACGAGCAGCGGAGCTTGCGTTTTTGTGATCCGCCGTGCTCTTGCGCACCCGCGTACGGTCCGTTCTCTGTTCTGGTATCCGTAGAGTGTTGCGCGCCTTTTTCTTTGCGAGGCGCCGTGCCACACGGTCTGCGTCGGCAGCCTTTGCAGCCTTGCGCTCCGATTTGGACAAGTGCGCCAGCTGCGCTCCTAAACCCGGGTCGCCCTTCGGTAATGCAGTCGTCGGTGTGAGCCTTCTTGATGCGGCCGCATCTCGTGAGGGCGCTTTCGTCGAGGGAATGGCACTGGCGCGAGAATCGCGAGATGTCTTGAGTGAGCCAAGTAAGGTTTTACAACGCTCGATTCGCAGCTTGCGTTTTGCGAACTTGAGCGTGCCTGGCTCGAGGGCGAGTATCTCGTCGACACATTCACGGTCCTGTCTCAGGCGTACGCCAGCCAGTTAGGGTCGCTTTCGTAAAACGTGAAACGGGCGAGAAGATCACCCACAGCAAATTGGACATAAGCGAAACCTTTGCCCAGTTGAGTGTCTTTATCACGGACAATTCGTACACGAGTCACCCATGTCTTGGGTTTTTTCTCTTGTGCGTTTGGATTGCTCGCATTTTCCTCGCTGTCTGAGTCAGGTTCGCCCATGACAGCGCTGCGAGGTCCGCGCTCTGCGCTGACGACGCCCTCAAAAAATGCGCGCACGTCTTCCTCATGGCTCGCAAAATCCAGGCTCCCGACGAATATCGTGCATTTCGGATCACCCATACTGCTTCCGATCGTGTCCGCCCGCAGAGTGTGGCCCATGTACAACGTATTGTCAAGGGCGGCAACCACATCTCTTGCAGCCTCATCGGGGGCAAGCTCGGCGTCATACGCAAAGACGACATAGACCGTGATGGTATCTGCCTCTGCGTGCAGCTCATGCTTTATGAAAGCGACCCTCTTCTTGTCATGAGAGCTTAGCGGCGGCGGCTGTGAGGTTGATACATCGTTACCCTTGGTCGCGCGCCACTCCGCCGTGCGTTCGAGGCTATGTACACGTGGCACAGGCGCAGCGGACGTCGGGTTTTGGAATGCGACTGAACGGAAGCGCGTGGACTCTATCTTGGCTCCTGGGACATGTGAAAGTATATGCCGCTTGAGGTGTTTCAGAGCCGACTGAGTATCTGTGAGACGAGTAGAGTCAAATTGAGGGTGCTCGAACATACCTTGCTCTTCGCAACTTCGACAGGAATGTTCCCGAGGAATATTGTACGCCCGTCATGCTGCTCCTTCGTCTCGTCTTGGGAGGTATCATGTGCATGTCTCTTTTCGCGTCGAACTTTTTTCACTGTGGTTTCGTGAACAAGCTGAGATGGTTCTGTCTCGTTCTCAGAGTGTTCCTCGTTCTTCGAGGTGCCCGTCGCATCCGGGCGGACTTTACGCTCGTAAGCCTCTTCCAACCCCGCATCGACCTTCTCATCGTCAGCTTTCTTCGGAGACTTTTCAACTTTGGACCTCTTTTTCGAATCCCCATGACTTTCCTTGACTTTTCCTTTTCTTGAGCTCACCACCAATAGGTCAGTTGTTGACCCTGACTGGAACGAACATTGCTCATTGCTTCTGCGGATTTTTTCCGCTTGACCCGAGGCTGTGAAGGATCTTTTGCCGTGCCTCTTCTCCGCTCCTTGCCAACGTTGTTCGAGAGAGGAGCTGGATCCACCGGGAGAGTTGGTATCTGTCGCCACGACCCGGTTAGCCACCAAAGTAGTTCGAGTCGTGCAGGAACACACCGAGGAGCAGAAAAGAACATCCAGATCCGCGTCAATATTTCCATCCCCCCTCAAGCGGTCTTTCCCGAGCAAGAAGGAAGACAGGCTCATCACGCACAAAAAGTCTGCACCGATTTCAGCAGTTGAGAGTCAACATCAACCCTCGACGGAAAAGCGGAGCGGCCCGCCAGTGTCACTTGATTATTTGTTATTCAAAGAATGGCATAATATATGGGCGTTTGGCACAGTGGTAGCGCGTATGCTTTGCATGCATAAGGTCGAGGGTTCAAACCCCTCAACGTCCAAAATATTTTTCCCCTTCTTGGGAAGTCACCTGTCAGCCCAGATCCTTTACGACTAGAGCACGGGTATGAGCCACCATCCATGTGATCACCCTGATTTGTTCGACCATCGACCATCGGCCCTATCACATTGGAGGTGACTAGGCAGCACACTACGACACGTGGGAAGCCGTGTTAATGTGAATCATCTTTATTTGGGGTACTCGAGCTATGTCACTTAGTCGGTCTTTCTATTTGACCTACGTCAGCTCACCTTTGTCACTCGATCAAGTCGGATCTACTCTATTGTTCTGTGACTCTGGCCACGTGGTTATACTGGCTCCATCCATCCATGCAGGAAATTTTAAGGAAAAACCCTATGCCCATCGATTAAAAGCGTGTGTCTTCGGGCACTTCACCTCGTTTATGCACTACGTATTGGTGAGGGCATTCTGCCATCGTGTGTCATTCGTCAGTTCTGGACTGTGAGTCCGTACAGCTCAAATCGACTCCCTATTGCAACATTTGTACGAGTAGTGCCGTATATGTGGACATGTGTACGGACAGGCGCTTGATAACCCAACAGAACTAGAAGGGGCAAGCGTGCGGACGCCACGCCACGCAGCACCTATAAAAGTTGTGGGACTGTCCTCGTGCCCCCGGTTTCCTCCCGCCATGTCTGTATACGACCCATACATTGGTCGATACAGGACCCCCTCGGCCTGGTCCTACCCTTCCTACATCCCCACCAGCTCGCCTTTCACCTCCTACGCCTACAGCGATGATATGTATCACCCTCGAGACTTGTCGTCGGGTTACGCCTCAGAGAGGATTTACTACAGCTACAATGGAAAGCTGATTAAGTCATACAAAATTCGAAATTACAGAGTACGTCTTCAGTCCTCGAGAGCACGGTTTACCATCTTGACCGGGCAGTTTAGAGCGCGCAACGACATGTCCTAAACTTATTCCCAGACATGCTGGACGGCGTGGCCTCTTCCCGCATCCAATTTTATGTGACGCGTCCCGGGGTTTCTGCCCGTGGATATGTTGGCTTCAAATCATACATAGCAAAGCGCGCATGGTTGACGGAAATGGACAGCTTGGCGGAGCATGAGACATTGGGTGTTACCATACGACCGAGCATCTCCTTGACAGAATCCATATCTAGCTTCTTCAACCGTCGGTTTATTTGAAGCCACTCGGACACATCTCTTTCACATTTTGGCGCTGCTATTGCGTCTGTATTGTATATGTACACGAGATATTGTATACTCCCAGGCTATGAATGTGGTCTTGCCACCGCCGCAAATTCGGCAAAATGAATAATCGATGTCGTGCATCGAATTTGTTTGGCAAGCGAGATCCGCCGTGTCACGGGTTCCGTCCACTCATCCTCACCACTGTCTCGCAGGTGCTTTGTGTTCCAGTAGCCACGTTCATTGATACGTTGAACATTGAATGCACGGATATTCTTTCCAGACCATTGCCTCATATCCCCATTGGCCGACTCGGACCATCCAAATTGGTGCTTCAATCAAGCTCAACTCCACTGGATAACCAGTGGAATTGAGCTCGATTGACGATATACAGTATGCACTATGAGGTTCGAGCTCCACGTCAGAAATCAATAAGAAGACATCACAAAATTGGAGTTCCTCGGATAATCTATGTATGGCCAACGGACGATCCCCGGTCCCTCGGCGAAAGGGATGTCGTCGTTGGTCGACTCTCATCGGGCATGGGCGACGCCAAGCAAAAGCCTCAAAGATCTGTTGGATCCAGAATCTCGACAGGCCATTCCGTACGGTGGCTGTCCCAATATGTATTTCAAGAATCTGGATAAGCGACAGGTGTATAAAACTACCGAACTCAGCAGGGCAAAGTCCCTAGCACTTGCTCACCCCTTTGTTCGTTCACAAGGTACTGGTTACCCCATTGTGCTTATTCTACGCCTCCCCTTTTCTTGTTCACTTCTTAAATCTACACGACAAATTCATCATCCATCCTGAGCAATCCCAAACTATTCGATGCGTGCTTTAGCTGCTATCGCTATTCTTTGCTTCGCCAGCCAGGTCACTTCGTCTTGCGCAGCTCCTCTCAAGTCAGTACCCACTCTTTTTGTTGTGCATTGTTCTTGATGTCTATCTGCACCATACAGAGCCAAACGTGCTCCTTTCAATCCCACTGGAACCACACAAACAATCGCCAGCACCTCGATTCAATATGCCGTCAACATGTTGTTTCAGGCTGCGCTCACTAAAATTGCGAGCGCTTGGAAATGGAAGGGGTAGGTAGATTCCACCACATTAATGGTTTCATTTGCCCATGACATCCCGCTCGCCACAGGAGCATGCAGAATGCAGCCGCCCAGACTACTAGTAGTCGCCGCGAAGTGTTGGAGTACATTCAAACGCGAGCTAATGAGGAGCTCGCCTTCCGCATGTACAAGCGGGAGTCATCGACGCTACTGGAGCGGACTTGGATTGACGATTTGGATTGACGGACGTATTGAGGCTGGTTTCCTCACAAGGTCCGCGACTGTAGATTTTATAACTATCAGATTCAGATTACGACGGGGGGCAACTGCTCATTACATTCTTTACGACTTGAGGTGCTCGCCATTAAGAACGCCTTATGTATCTATTTGGCTCGTCGAGGCATCTGCTCGCCGTTGACATATGATAGCTTGGGGTCGTCGATGGCTTGCAGAGAGATCGATCAGACACTTTGCGAAGCCGCATACAACGTTGGTACTTCCATTACAACGTGCGTAGTAGACCAGGGAAATCATCGCACCGCGGCTCGGCTCTTGAGTCGATCTACACACGTGTTCAAGCTTTCAAAGTTAGCACCGCGTTGGTGTCGCAAGAGCGGCAGTCGGAGAATTAGTCACGCCCATCGTCATCGCTGCGGAGCCCATTCAGAGTTGAGACAAACGACAAACCAGACATGTCTGATCCTCCCCCGGTCAAACCCAAACCCGGCTCACTTCGTGACCGTATCGCTGCCTTTGAACAGAAGCCCAACCCTTCTCTTCCTGCTGCGTCTGCCCCCCGCCCCAAGCCAGGCAATCTCTCCCAATGGAAACCCCGTTCCTCGTCCCCACCACCTGATTCTCAACCCACCACCACTCGCAATGACAACAACAGCATGTCTGCAAGTGACGCCAAGGAGAGCATCACAAAAGGGGGGTCACTCAAGGAACGCATGGCTATGCTTCAGGGTCTCGGCGCGTTTGGTGGAGGTCAATCAGCTACTCCTCCTCCAAAGCCCGCAGAGAAGCCGAAGTGGAAACCGCCTCCTCAGGTCACCCTCGCACCCCCCATAACTGGTGATGATGCCGATGACAACGATGTGTCTACTAGTGGGGCTGACGACAACCCCCCCACCTCGCCCCTCAAGGCGCCCAGCGACGATATAGTAGCAGCTCTCTCAAAGCCGCCCCCGCCTGCCGAAGAGGAGACCTCCCAGATCGAGGGAGAGGTATCGACGACGGGGGAGGAACAAGTCGACCCGGAAGAGGAAGAGAGACAGCGTCGTGCGGCAATCGCTGCGCGCATGGCTCGTCTTGGGGTACGAGGGTCGGAATGGGTCCGCCTATCTTTGGTCGTAAACCAGAGATCAAGCCTAAGCCTTCCATGCCCTCGCCCGAGGTGACGAAGGAAGAACCTCCGGTGCCACACGCCCCACCGGTCGAGCCGGCACTTGGATCTGAGAGGGACGTCGAGCATGCACAGGCAGAGGCCGACATTGCAATGAATGGTACGCATATATGCGCATAATGTGGACTGATTTGCTTGCTCAATCACGTCCTCTCGCAGTTCCGCTCCCTACTTCCCCCGCTGTCAACGAGACTGCGACAGTATCGCTTTCTCCTCAATCTCAGAATGCAGGTCAAGGTACCGTCCTTTCATTCTTCGCGTGAGTTTTGGGACGCTGATGCGTAGGGTCGTAGAGTACTTTCCACAGGAAACCTCTCCTTCAACAAGCCCCAACGTCCCTCCACGCGCGATGCCTGTCCCGCAGGGCCCTCGTCGCGCAGCTCCTCCACGCAAGAAGGCTTCATCGAAATCGACGCCCCCTGCTGAGACCGCAGCGGTCACACCACCGCTCGAGAAAGATGTGCCCGTATATGACAGTCCTGCTGACTCTGCACCCGCTCCTGCGTTGGGTCATGACGAACTGGAACTTTCTGAACTGCGGATAGGAAACCTGCTCCGGCTCCTGGTCTCGTATCACCGTCTTCGGACCCTCGCCCTGAGTCTCTGATAGGCTCGGAACCTAGTCAAGATCTGCCACCTCCCAGCGACACCATTGAGATGTCTGTCCCTAGGATTACGCAGGAGGTTGAAGGAGTGGTGGCGCACGAGACCGGGGAGGACGAGACAGCCGAAGCTACGGAGGAGGATGAACACGAAGGTGATGACGAGGACGAGGTTTTCCTCAGGCGGCGTGGTGGACAGCACATGCACTCTCCACCCGACGCCATTCCCGTTGAGGCCGCAGGAACTGCACACGAGAGTCAGCATGCACCGACGGACACGTCTGACGTCCCGTATGCGGTCTTTCAGCAGGGTGGCGGAGCAGACGCAGCGGATGAGGATGAGGACGACGGTAAATATTGATTATTGATCTCGAGTCCCCAATGTTTCCAATATCTTTTCTGTCTGGCAGTGTATGTTACAGAACATTGATGAAGTGCCTCTTGTTTATTTCATAGAATCCGATCATCGGGCACAAGCCCTATCCGAGTTGCAACACGCCCCGGAAGATGAATCATTGCTAGAATCCCAAGGTACAGTTGACTATGATGACGCAGACATGCGTGTTACACACGAGGGGGTGGTGCAACATTTCTCCAAAGCTGCGGAATCCAGACAACCCCTCGATAATTATGACGAAAGTGAAATGTATACGGCTCCCGAAACTTCTAGCCCACATAGTACCATACATGGCCAATACGCCACAAATGAATCCGCGGCTGCACAGGTGCCTCTTGAAGGCGAACCCCTTCAAGTTAC